TTCAGCAACCAGCTCCCCACAGCCCACCTTCTCAAACAGGGCTGATGTGGGGAGAAGGGAGAGCCCTGAACCATCCCCCTTCCTCCCTCTGGCTCTCAACCGCCCAGCTCCGCCAGCCAGAGAGCCATTAGAAAGGACAGGCCCCTGTGGCTTCTCCCCTCCCTGCCCCTCCCCTCCAGCCCCGCTCGGGATCAATACCTAATGCTGATTTCAAGATCCTATCTGAGTTTTGCAAGGATAAAGCAACAAACTTTCCCCATGATTAAATCCTTTGATGATCAGTCCAGTATTTTTCAGACCACCTCTAATAACTTTTAGAGAGCAAAGAAATGACTCTGAGAAACTGGAACGACGGTTCTCCCTCCCGGGGAACGGAGCATCTCACGGAAGGCCAGGAAAAGAAGTGACGGGTGGGGCCAGGAAGGGCCCAGTCCCTCCGCTCCTGCCTGGCTGTAAGAACCTCCTATTTGGCAGTCCATGACCCTGCGTGCCTCAGTTTCTCCACCAAGGGGAGTAGGTGTGGAGAAGGACTGATAGAGGACGTGCCCAGGCCCCTCATTGGCAACTCCCCTGCTCGAAACCACTGCCCAGCACGGTGCTGGCAGAGTGGCTGGGAGCGTGGCCCTGGGCCAGACAGGCTGGGCTGACATGTGACTGGGGTGGAACTCTGGGCAGCTGCGTTCACCTGTGACTGTCATAAAGATTCACCAGCGTGTGCGGGTGCTGCACTGCGTACTTAGTGTAAGTGCCCAGGAAGTGTGGTGGCCTGGCCTGGCTAACACAGAACCCACCAACCACCATGATGTGCACCATGATGGGACGCCCAGATCCCCGTCAGGATCCGCTGGGAGCGCGGCAGGAGAATGGCCCCCACAGGCCGCCCCCTCCAGGACTTCCTCAGTAAAGCCCGAGGCCACACCTGCATCTGGGTGGCATGAAGGCCAGCCCTCTCACCCAGCTGGGGACCGCCGTCTGCAGAATGCCCAGGGCACCCCAGGGCCACGCCTGCATGCTACTCCTCATCCCAGCCTGCACCTGCTCACCTCACTCCTCTAGTTAAGAAAGTAAAACAAATTTAAAGGAATTAATCTTGGACACTCTCTCGGTTAAAAAGCTAAAAGCCAGAAACATACTTCAGGTCCTGGAACTCATCGATCCCAGCTCCCATATTTTTCTGAACAGGAACCTGAGGTGTTCAGAGAGGTTAGGGAAAGTGACCCCCCGGCCCCTCACCGCTACTAAAATCAAGAGGCAGTAGGAGCTCAAAGGGTGTCCTCTCTGAGGAGAAAGGTGGGACCCACCCCCCCATTTCTGTGTGAGTCAGCTTCTGCTGGACCTTCTTGCTTCCAGGACGGGGGACCCGCATCCTGGGCGGGCTCACTGTCCCTGGTCCCCCGATTCCTTTCCCAGGATGCCAGCGGTCCAAGTGTAACATGGGAAGAGACACAGGCTGTGCTTCTGGGAACAGAGAAATGCTGTGCAGATGTACCTGAGGGCCAACAGGGAATGGAGGCAGGAGGTAGTCACTGTAGGGAAAAAAGTGGAAATTCTGCCCTAACTGTCTCGTGATGGCAGTGTGGCCGCGTGGTCCCGAGCCTGGCCAGAGGGACTCGCGCAGGCCAGGCCCAGTCCCAGGTAGTTCTCCCTGAACAGCAGCTGTCATGTTCCAGGGGCACACAGGTGGCCTTCAAACTGCCGGGGTACGGGACGAGGCGAGGCCCGGCTGCCCAGCGGGTCTGGGTTAGAAGCTGGATGAGGGCTGAGCAAGCGCTGCGGCAACACGGAGCGGCTCCTGGCTGGCCCTGAAGAAGCTGAGGCCCGCCCTGGCCAGTCTGGCTCAGCAGTTAGAGCACTGGCCTGCGGGCCAGAGTCCCGGGTTCGGTTCCCGCTAACAGCACGTACCTCGGTTGCAGTTTGTCCCTGGCCCCGGCTGGGGTCGTGTGGGTGGCAACCAGTAAATGTGTCTCTCTCACATCGATGTCTCTCTCTCTCTCTCCCGCTCTATCTGAAGATAAAAAAAATGCAAAAATGTCCTCAGGTGAGGATTAAAAAGAAGCAGCAGCATCAGCTGAGGCAGTGCCAGCCTGAGAGATGCCCTCAGCTCCGCCTGCAGCTTCCTCCTCCTGGCAGGACGGCGGGCGGCAGGAGGCTGAGGAGGGGAAGGGAAGGTCGGGCAGGGGGCGCAGGGGTTACTTCCCTGTGCTCACCCCGACTCTAAATGCACGTCCCAGGGAAGCGGGGCCTGTGCTCCAGAGGGTGACTTGGGCTTCCGTTGTGATACCTCCTTTTCCAAGGACACTTCTTTCCTCCCCCGACTGCCCTGAATCACTGACGTGTTACCCCAGCTTTAGCCCCCAGCTTTGGGAGGGGCTGGGACACGTCCCGGCCAGCTCCCACCCACAGAAGAACCCTGGGGGCAGGTTCCGTGCAGGAGGACGGGAGGCGGTGTGTCAGGTGCTCCGGGGGGACTTCCAGGCGCACCCCTCCTGCCCCCGCAGCCTCAGGCTGGTGGGCGGCCTGTGCGACCACACATGGCCCCTGCTCAGAAGGGCTCCATGTTGGGGTGAATGCTCTGCTATCACCTTGAAATTCTTAAAAATTGTCGACTAAGACACGCCACCTGTCATCTTGTTCTGGCTCCGTAACGTCTGTAAGGAGTCCTGCACCTCCCGCAGGATGTGAGCTCTGGGGGTGCAGAGGCGGCCAGGAAGGGTTCTGCTCAGCTGAGGCAGGGCCGTGCACACGCCAGGGCCTGTGCCCCATCCCTCTGCCCTGCCCGCCAGAGTCCTGACTTGGGAGAATGAGGAATCCCTCAGCCACTCTGAGCACTGGCTGTGGAATGGAGCTCCCCCCACAGAGACGCTGCCCTCACCCAGGCACAGAGGGTCCGCCCCCCACTGCTGCCCCCGGCGATGCCCACGGCAGGAGTCAGCTGGGTCAGAAATACCGGAGAACGTTTCCTGGCACCCGGGAGCCCAGAGTGCTGAGTGAGAGTCCACCTCTGGTGGTGACTGGACACGGTCACCGCCCTCTCGGTCCTCAGATGACAGACCTCTTTCCCTGCACAGCTGTGAGGCTGAAATGAGATGACTTGTCATCTCCTCCAGCCCAGGGCCTGACACGGAGCAGGAGATTAAAAACCTTGTCATTCATAAATATTCAAAAAAGAATGACAATACTGCCCAGAGCCACTCAGGGAGCTCCCAGGACTCCAGATTCTAACACCGAACACGGAGCTCGCGCCCCGCTCAGACGGCCTCGCCCGCCCTGGAAAGAAACACTCGGAAACACACTGAGCCAACCCGGCCCCTGTGGAGAAGGACCCAGATCTGAAATCGGCAGCCCGAGGCTCGAGCACCTCTGACTGTGGGTGCAGCAGGTACCCGCCCTGAGCTCTCGTCAGCTAGTCGACAAAACGGAGGTGATGGTGATGACGATGATGATATAATAACAACGATAAGGAGAACTAACATTTACACACAGTTGACAATAAACAATCCTACAGGAAGTACAAATATCATCCCCATTTTACAGATGAATAAATGGAGGCACGAAGAAATTAAGGGCTTTTCCCAACGTTACAACCACCCTCCTGCGGCTGCGGTGAAGAGGCGGAGACGACGCGCGTGGGGGCCACAAAGACCGTCGAGTGTGGGTGATGCTACAGGGAGGCCTGCGCTGCTCTCTGCCGCCACTCTCGGCTCCCACCTCTGAGCAGCGCAGAGGACAAAGCCAGTCATCCTACACCTGTAAGCTCTTCCCTCGCCTTGCCCCCCCTTACTCCTCCCCCTCCACCCCTCCCCAGTCCTTCCCAACACATACACCCCTGACGCCCCAGTTTTCTGCCCAATTTTCCCTTTTCCCTTTCAGGACACTGTATATGATGCGTGAGAAGCCGACCACCGGGTACACTCAGGACACCCCCCCTTCTCCCACCCCCACCAGAAACGACCCCACTCCTCCCTCCCTTTCACTCCGCCTGCGTGCTCCGAGCAGGAGAGGCAGACAGTCAACGCTGGGCAACCGCTTCTCATCACAGGTGAAGCAAGAATGTCAGCAACACAGAAACATCTACGTGCAGTCCAAGTGGCAAGGGGACACCGCTCACTCACGCGGGCTCCTCCCAAGAACACCGCTTCCTGCCACCCCTCGGAAGCTCTGCTCATTAACGCCCTGCTGATAGGAACCCCGGAAACCAGGAGCTTCCGGAGAACAGGAGACCGGAATGCTAAACCATAACCTTTGACCCTACTTCCTCGGGGTGGAATTTCAAGATTCGTCCAATTTTCTGTTTAAAGCAAGGATTTTAAAGGTTCTTTTTGTGGGGAGGTGGGGGAAATAGAGATTAGAGACTCCTTTGAGAATCTGTTTAAATATTCTCCCAAGAAAAGTGCAAACCTAAAACACTGTGTCACTCCAAGGGTTCGCAGACCCCAAGCTGAGATGCATTTTCGGAAACATAGATGGGGCAGCAGAAGCGCAAGAGAAAATACAAGCGCAGATGCACCCCAAGCATTCCCGAGGCACCCGGGGCATTTCCTGTTTGCAGGGCTTCGCACGCCCCAGAAGCCTAGCAAGGCTTACCACCACCCCCACCCCACCCCCCCGCTCTTTTGACTCTTTAGATTGACAGTTTGCTCCAAACCACCTCCTTCAATGCAAACTGGAAACTCAGTTGAGGAGTTATGATGAGTAACTTCCACTTGGGGTCCCTCAGTGCTGAGGCTTAGCGGGACAAGCACGCCAGCACTAGGAAGGGGTGTCTGAGCTGTGCTGGGTGTGGGTGCACGAGTCAGGGACAGGTCCCGGCCCGGAGGAAATGGCGTTTGGAACTGTCCCGTATCTGGACTCCTTACACCGTGGTGGCCCTCCGGTAACACAGATCTCCAACAGATGGTCAACTCGACCTACTCAGTTCTGGAATAGCCGCTGTATCCTTTGTCTGTGGGACTGGGATGGGACGAGATGCAGGGGCAACCTTCGAAAAACGGGATTCTTACCTCTGTGCCTGTTGGTGGTCTTATCAAACATCAGCATTGCGTCCTCCACCTGCAAAACAAGTACAGAATAGAGCCTGCATTAGGAATTTTACCAAAATGCACAAAACCTTATAAGGAGGTTCCATTACTGAAGCCATAGTTGCTCATTCAACACTACTTGAAAATATAAAAACTTAGGGGAAGAATCATCGTCGCCTGGTCTCTCCGCCTAGCACAACCACGTCGTGGGGGTGTGGACAAAAGTGTTCGGCGGGGGGCCCTGGCCTCGGGCGAGTGCTATGTGCTCGTGCTGTTCACTGGAGCTCAAAGGCTCCCGGACCGGCTTGGGGGCCTGCGCTAAGCCGGCTGAGAAAAGAAATCATGGGTTATTCATTCCTCTCTCCTCCCAGACTATAGCCTCCGATGGAGGGGAAGACACGAAGAAGCAATGAAACTGGGTTTAAAATGGTGCCTCCAGACAAATCAAATCCATTTTTCCAGACGCTATCAAATATAATAGAGGAAAAAGCAAAGTCAAAGTAAGAATGGAAGAGGGGGGTAGGCAAGCCAGACACAAACCTCGGAGGGACTGGCCTCACTTAAAAATCTCTTCTGGAGTCAGGGCCCCATTTTGTTGCTAAGCAACCGAGCCTGAACAAACAGGCTCCTGGGGCCTTCCCCTTCTGGTCCCCATTTCTGAAGTCAGTTACTGGGAGGAAAATGGCCTTGCATGGCGACTGCTCCTCCAGCAGGAAGCTGTCCCCTCTCTCCCGGGCATCAGGCTAACGGGAGTAGGTGACGCTAGCTGGAGACAGGGCACCTTCAGCAGGCCCTGCCAGGTCCGGGCTCGCCGAGCCACCAGGCGCCTGCTGAGGCCGCACACACCGCCGCTCCTGCTCCCCGAGCACCACTCAAGCAAAACCACCAGAAGACCAACTGGTTTGTTTGTACACAGAGCAGTCACACTTGAGCATATGGTGTTGCAGACTCAGACCCCGGGCCTCCATTACAACTCCGACGCCTGGGGTGCGGGTGGGGGGCGGGAAGCCTGCTGGGCATCACGCAGGTGAATGTGACATCTGTTTCGCACCCATCTCCATATTTTCTGAGATGTTTGCCAAGTCCTTATTTTGAGCTAAAAATGTCTAACAGTAAGAAAAACAGCCTCCCTTCTGTGTTGGCCATGTTTTGGTACTGAAACTCAGATCCCCTTAGGAAATAAATATTTTGAATTTTGACAATAATGTATTTTCAAACTCTCTTTTCAACAGTGCGTAATTGGCTCGCTCTCTTTCTTCCCGAGCCTGGGCATTTCCTGACGCTGCTCTCCCAACGCTCGCTCCGCCCTGGTGAGCGAGGGGAGGAGCCGTGGACATTTTCTAGGACAACCATTGTGGCAGGCACGGCGCTCTTTCCTCTATAGTTCAGCGGTACAATGGGGCTTGCAAAGACCCCCTGAATAGAGAAAGTGTCGGGGAGAAAGAAAAATTCTATTAACACTTTACAAAATAAAACATCTAAGAAATAGCTAGAGAGGAGAGAAAAATCAACCGGGTAAGTCCTAGTGCTGGGGGGAGAAAACTTTCAGCGATCGCAGAACACATTAATTCGGGGAAGCCATCAATGCGATGGAAATCTGGCAGAACAGCAAGAGCCGAGACGGGAAGGATCTGAATATACAAAGGCTGAAAGGAACGAAACACACTGCCGTACACACGGCTGTTTCTCACGGTCCTGTGTGAACCAAAGAGGGGTGCTTGTGTGTGTCTCCGTCCCGGCACAGTCAAGGTACCTGGGAGCCGGCAAGCTGAGACCTCTGTGTAACTGTCTGGCATCAGTGCCCGTCTGTCTCTCTCTCTCTCACACACTCACTCACCACGAAACCCGGGTCGACGAGATGGCTATGTGGCCCCCAAACTCAGCCTGCAGGCCAAGCTCCATCTCGGGTGCTGGAAGGCCAGGGCCCTGTAGAGCCAGACCCAGGTTCTTCTGACCTCAGGCCACCAGTCCCCAACCCTTGTGAAATGTGTCCTCAAGGGACACCACCCTCTTCTCCTGATCAGCACTGGATTTGTTTTGGGTCGACAGTGCCCTCCCTTGCCTTGCGGATTTCTTTGTACCAAAGATGGGGCCCACAGGCCCTGTGGTCTCTGGGAGGGGAGAGGAGAAGAGGTATACGAACCTCGGCATACTTTGTCCCACACCCTGGCACAAGCCTCGTCTGTTTTGAGAGAAGAGACTTGTTCCAAGCTTGAGATGTGCCTCCTAACAACGGAAGGCGGGTTGAAGACGCAGCCGTGACACCTGGGCGGTGTCACTATGTGAAGGACAAAGCAGGTCCAATCACTTGGATGCGAGATGGCTGGGGACAGCGAACTTGGTCTGAGCACCAGTGCCCTGACCCCGCACGTCTGCTCATCACAAGGCTCAAACTACACGTCACACCCTCAGCGTGTGCACCAGGCACACCCCACTTCGGAGCGTTAATAGCAGAGCTATAATGTCAGCTCTGTGGGCCTGGGGGTTGGGGCAGGGCTTCTCAAACTTGACCCACCTCAGAATTACCTGGAGGGCTTGTTAAAACACAGACCCCTACAGTGTCTGATCCAGGGCATTTGCATTTCTAACAAGCTCCTGGGCAAGGCTGGTGCAGGTCCTGACCTGTGCACCCCGCTTTCCACCTGCTGCTCTAGGGATAAGAAACAAGAGCAAAGGTCAAAGACACTGGGCAGAGCTGCTCCCTCCTCTTCACACACACTCTGCGCTCAGTCTGGAAACACATTTCCCTTCCAGGGGCAACTAACGCGCTTCCATCTGGCAACAGCGCTCCCTGTTGTTCCGGCTCCTGGGTGTTTGGATTCCAAGCTCCTGAAAGTGGCGACGGTGAACCACGGTGGGAAAGAAGACAGGAAGAGGGACTTGTCCGCGGCAACCAAGCTGCCCCCACACCCAATGCAGGAAAAACTCAGATTCTACCAGATAAACCAGCTAATGTCTACACCACTCGGCCAATTCAATCTCCATGAGAAAACCTAGCCAATGTTAACTTTACTTACTTTTACGCAACATGTATTTATTAGGCACTCACTGTTTGCAGAGCATCAGCCCAAGAACAAAGAAGAGGCCCATTATCTAGGTCCCTGTAGACTAATTGCTTTAATGGCCTCACACCCTTTACCCTGTAATTTTGCAGTTCCTCTGCCCAAAGAGGCAGCGTCTATCTCCCTATCCTGTGCATCTGAACTTGGCTTATTTCGGTCAATAAAATGAGGTGGAGAGGATGGCATTTCCAGCCTTCAGGGGGACTGCTGTTTCTGCTTGTTCTCTCTTGCACCTCTGCCGTCACCGTGAGAAAGGCATGCTCAGGCTGGCCCGCGAGGGGAGGAGAGACGCGTGGAGCAGGGCCACGTCCCCTCAGCCATCCCAGCGGGCCCAGCCTACACGGACTGAGCTAGTCCACCCCTAATGTGCAAGTGAGCCCAACCAAGATCAGAACCACTCCCAGTGGACTTGACACGCGAAACAAGCAGCTATTGCCTGCCACTGGGGTTTTGTGGCTATTTGTTACACAGCATCCTTGAGTAATCGGTAACTCATACATGGTCCCTGTTCTCAAAAAAAAAATCTATCAGAAGATGCACCGTTTCAGTAATACTAGACAACGAACAAAGGCAAGAAAAGTGGCGGAAGGAGGTAAATGCAGAATGTGGGCTGAGTAGCAAACTACCGGGTTCCACATTCCGAGGGGAATACAGGCACTCGTGTGTGAAGGGGCCGCTTCTGAATCTCACCCCGGCAGCAAGGTTGGAGGCTGAGATCCCAGAAACACCAAGAGAAATTGGCAACATGTTCCCCACTAAATGAGTACCATGGAAATCAGCAATAATTAGCACTCAAGTCAGTGGGTGATGCCTCTCTAATCCTAATTCATTTAATGAATGAGTGAAGCTTCTTTATAATGAGTAGAAAGATTTATTGTGAGCCAGACATTCTTGCTGGGTGACGTCAGCAGCAGCAGATGGTGCTGACCACACCCAGAGGTGAGGCTCTTAGCCAGCGTGTGTGCTAACTGAAGAGGAGACCTTTCCTGTCACAAGCAAAGAAGCTCCTGAAAGGAGAGATCGAATGTTCTGTTCGTCAGACTGGCTAGCCAAAGGCTGGGACCCTAGAATGTGCCCCCAGACCCCTGCTTCTCCAGCCTGCGGTTTTGGCTCCCCAACTACAGAGTAGGTGAGTGACGCTGATTCGGGAACAAAGAAAACTTGTTCCCAGGAGACACTAGATGGGAAAGAGTTGCTGGTAGTAACTCAGCAGGTGCCGGGGGGCAGCTGAGCGTGCCAGGCGGTGTAGCACAAAGCCACAGGCAGAACCCAGGACCTGCCACATCCATCAGGATCTCACGGAGGACAGGTCACCGCCCACCTCTGCCATTCAGTCCTCATCTGTGAAAGGGGGGACTATGAGATGATGGCCTGAGCCAGCCGCAAAGACGGCCTAGAATGCTAACACGGGCGCAGAGCCCGCGGGGACATCTGGGAGCATCGGATTCACCGCGGGTCCTCGGCGAGCTCTCCGCTCTGCGAGGACGTTCCAGAGCTTTGCTGTGGCCAACACACCCTGAGAAATTCCCTACTCCTCTTGGGATACAAATACACACACCCACACACCATACATATCAAGAACCCAGCAGGAAATGGCACTTCAAACGATCCTTAAATTATCTGGCCAGACGCAAGGAGAGAGGCAGGAGGAGAAGAAAGGCAGCTCTTCAAACTCCCCCAGAACAAATGCCCTTGAATTCCGCTTCCTGATCCCACTCAAACGCTTCAAGTGTTAGTTTAAATAAACGCTCGTAAATGTAATACCATACTATAGTGCGTAGGACTTCACAGGCCTTATTATGCTCTATAAACTCAAGGCACTAAACTCGCAGGAGTGGAGACTCGTACATGCGAGGCGGGACTGCCCCAGTGGAGGCGCTGGAGTCTGCGTTGGGCCTGGAGGCCGCCTCGTGCCCGGCCGTCTGAGCCAGGAGGGCGCTGTTCTCCACTCCTCCCCACCCGGTCTGGA